ATATTTATTTTAAATTTAACCTGGGATCGGGTGGTCAGGCTCATTGACTTGGTTAATGCATGTCATCGTATTCCTATTGCGTGGATCGATGCTGATTAATCACTGGATTGCCTGGTCCAGTCTCGATCATTTACAGACCGTTGTCATATAGCTGAAATATTGCTGAGTTCAGTGTTAAACAAAACAAACAAACAAACGAAAAAGGGGTATTAATGCCAGTTCCTTAACTGGTTGTGCAAAGATAGATTATTCCAAGGGGACTGCTGTTGAAAAGTACTGTCACCAAATGTCCTGGATGCCATCACGATGACCATGTTTTGATTGAAAGAGACCGCCTCTGTGGTCTTGTGGTAGAGCGACCGCCCGGAGAGCGGAAGGTCCGGGGTTTGTTCTCTGGCAGCGTCATACAAAGAGACGTTAAAAGATGGTACTTGTTGTTACTATACCCTGTCTGGCGCTCGGCATTAAGGGTCTAAAACAAGGACTGGTCGGCTCGGAGTCAGTATACTGTGTCTGAGTGGGATATTCATGTTAAACTGCGACATGGTATCTCAGTGAGCTAGCACTATAAATCGGCATCAGTCCGGACTAGTACAAGCAGCCACACACACACACACATTCACGTGCATGCACGTCGCTATATAAATGCAATAATCTTGGACGCGACATTAAACCCAATTTCACCTCACCTCACCTTTGACTGAAAGATTATAATATTCTGGATTAACAAGGATGTAAAATAAAATGCAAGAATCATTATATTTGTGGGTGATCTCTATGATCAGATCAAACATATAGGGCATTTTCAAACTTCAAGTCAAACCACCCATCATTTTCTGTTACAGTATTCGACATAATAAGCGCCCACGGCGATATTTGCTAATATATTGGCTAGTGAACAATCCGAATTAGCATCCCTTCTGATTGATCAATGTACACTTATTTATTCGTGTATAATACACACCCTTGATTATGGGCAATTAACTTCTGGAAAATATATCTGTCGTGCATAATACGCACAAACTTTTTTTTGGTATCATTTCAGGCTGTCAGCATAAACAACGAAATTTACGATCTTTCAACTCTGTTTTCTTTCTCACAAAAATTATATTCTAATAAGAGCCCCCTATTTCTAATTTTGAGAGCGCCCTGGACGCTTATTACATCGAATACAGTAAAATCAGTGAAACATACACAATAGACTCTTGACGATATTCAGGGCCAGTATCTAGGCCTGTCCCTTGTGCATGTTATCCTGTCTCATCAGTGTGTTTAACCATGCATGTCCAACACTGCTGTCCACCAAGTTTACACAACACAAGCTGTGACTGTAAACAACAGCCACATTAATCAGCCAAACCATCAGAAACCTCACACCCATGTTCTCAATCCCAGACAGGAAATTAGTTTTATCTCATTCTATATCCACATTGACAGAAGCCCAGGTAGGTTCCTATCCCTCACAATGGCAGTCAATGGGTGACAAGTACAAGACCCCCTACATCACTATAATAGCTGGATCGTGTAATCAATATCAACTCTATATGATAATGTCCTGCAAAATGCCAAAAGTAAGTAGCCGTTTCATGCTGTTGCCAATTATACATTGATTGTTCTATGCATTTGACAAGATGTCTAAGCAAGGGAGGTTACTGTGCACCATTACCCATTACTGTCAAGGAGTGAGTGAGTGAGTATGGTTTTACGCCGCTTTTAGCAATATTCCAGCAATATCACGGCAGGGGACACCAGAAATGGGCTTTACACGTTGTACCCATGTCGGGAATCAAACCCGGGTCTTTGGCATGACGAGCAAACGCTTTAACCACTAGGCTACCCGACCGCCCCTTCTGTCAAGAAAATGGAAAGTCGAAACATAGCAAAATCAAACATTTACTGTCAACTACATGTCATAACAAAATTGATGACTTATTTTTTGTTTGGTGTTGTAAAACTATTGTGACTTTTTGCTTGAAAGAAAATGATTAAAAAGTTCATCTTTGAATTCTGATATGTTGAAGCATCCAAAAAGAAATGAAATGATTTTTGATATCATTATTATCATACAAAGGATAATTGTTGACCATTATTGTTTACTGAACATATTTGTAACTATGTAATAATGATCACGTTACCATTATCAGATAGGTATAACCCCAGACAGATCCTATCTGTGACATACTGTTTGTAATACTTGACATTTTATACTGATCCTCGGATACACACCAGTGCCCACATACCACACCTAACCAGTGCCAGTCTATGCAACAGTATATGCTACAGTAATCGGATCCTTTACTGTTTTATTGAACCTGCTGTTTTTGTGGACCTCCCCTGATTCTTACCTGCCAATAAAACAGTTCACAAATCATAAAACAACACCACTACAAGGCTCTTAAAGTTCAGGGAATGACAATCTGTCAAGAGTTACCTCCCTTTAGACTAACATCTAGTCTCTGAAAAGTACACGCATGTTCTTCAGAAAAAACAGTTGTTAAATTATTGTTATAAAATATAATATAAGGGCCCTGGAGACTTTCTTCATTTTCAGATACTGCAGTAATCTAGACTTGCCAAACATTATGGACTTGCATGGGCTGTATTGGATATATTTGTTTCAGGGTCTGTATGACCGACTAATAATCATATTACCATGAAATATATGAATCTTGGCAAACAACTTTCTACATCAGACTTCAGGGACTTACTTAAGAAAATTCTGATTTATACATATTCCATTTTTGATAATTTGAGACGGGTTCAGGACACTTCCAAAACAAATTAGTTCCAGGTAGATGGAACTCTATTACAGTTAACTCTTTGCTTTGAGTCAAAAGCATTGAAGCCTTCCATCAAAGTTTATATAGGAATACTTCTGTTTACAAGAGGTCCAAAGACGTAACTAATTCCAGAGTTATGAGGTGTTGGAATGTTGATGGAGGTCCATGAATTTTGCTACTAGGCCGATAAGAGTTACCTCCCTTGTTTTATGATTTCAGGCTAAACTTGAAGGAACTTCAGCACGTCTCTTGGGACTTAAGTACCCAATTTCTGATAACGTCAGCTTATGGATAAACATTTCCCCACATCCTTCTTGCTTTGAACAGCAGCAAATACAATTAACTATTAAATAACCTGTTTATCAGACAAGATCGACTAGCCAGGCAATGCATGCTTATGGGTTGATATGACATAGACCTATATTGGAAATGTACTGTGAATCCAAGCTTGTGTTTGATTGGTTAATAACAAAACAGTCATTCAACGAAACCTCAGAACAGAAAGCAATTTTAAAGGTTATTCACAAGCAACAGAGTTACTTCAGCATATGTGTAAATCCCACGCTTAAAAACTAGTGTTCATATTTCTTCAACACCGACTAACTGAGCAGTAAATAACAGTGAAACTGAATCACTGAAATCAACAAAGAAGAGACACGTAATACACAAATACATTATTGAACCCTGATAACTTTTTATGCAATTAATACTTGCTACCAGCAATTACAAATACACGCCAGCAAGCAGAGCTACTTCATTATGAAGAGACACACGATACAGAGAAGAAACACTGTACATGTATACATCACTACATGTTCCTAAAAATAAATCTGCAATTAGAGTGGTCTCCCCTTAATTACGTTCTCAATAACGGACTCAAGTCTTGCTGAAGCCGACACAGTCCTGAGTACTCAAATACTCGATGAAACCTGATGAGCACAGGAAGTGTACACTTGTGGATTGATTTCATCTTTCATTTTCTTTTGATTTCCATTCTTTTTCTTTCAGTTGTGTCAGTGTTCGAAATACCTGCCTTCCCGACCGTCCGAGACGGGTTGATTTCAACTGGGGCTGCCAGATTTTCAAATCCCCCTGCCCGACGGTCGGGTTATATTTCATATGTAAAAATATTCTAAATATTTCCCGATGATAAGCATTATTTACATGATGTATTCTAGCATATGAAATACAAATCTGACCTAAAAAGTGTTTGCTATTTCTTTTCTTGCATTTCTTCATGTTCAATGAAGTCGATTTAAAGTTTTAATTAAATTATCCTGAGAAACATATGATTATAGTGGGCAGGCAGGTTTTGGTCAGGGCTGGCAAGTATTTCAGCTAGCCAGTCCTGTGGTCTGGCTGAAAATTTTGGGAGTTTCATACCCTGGTTGTGTGGATTACGAAAATTTGCGTTTTATATAAAAGAACATCTGTCTAAATATTGTGGAAGGAACCAACCATTTGATATTCCAAGGGAGATTAGATTGATGAAAGAGATATAATTTAATAATATAGGGGGAAATCCCAGCTCCCCTACTACATATGTTTATATAAGGACATGGCTCCATTATGACAGGCTCCGCCATCATGCATGATAGCGGAGCTTCAAATTAAGACAAGAGATATTATTGGATGAAATGGTCGCGGATGTGGAGGTACTGTTGGACTACGGCAATGGGCTTAACCCCTGTTAAGCAACCCCAACTGCAGCAACCGTTGCCAAGCAACCCATGTTGCTTACCGATGCAGCATCCGATGCCCCGCAACTACCGTTGCCAAGCAACCCATGTTGCTTACCAATGCAGCGCCTGCTGCCCTGCAACTACCGTTGCCAAGCAACCCATGTTGCTATGCAGCTATCGCTGCCAGGCAAGTACCATTGCCAAACCATGAGCGAGGGCAACTATTGTTGCCAAGCTGACCATCCGCTGTAAAGCGGACACTAAGCCATCTGCTGTAAAGCAGAATGGATAAATTGGTTCCTGCTGTAAAGCGGGTAACCCTATCCTAAATAATTTATAATTTGGGATGTATCCCAAGACGCCAAATGTAACTTGTAATGCAGTCCACCAGCACCCCGCCACAAGCACCAAGGTGCTTCCCCACAAATACTACATATATTTATTGGTCGGTGCTAAGTGTTTTGTTCAAGAGTTGCACAGCACATGATGTACAGATGAGTAGTCAGAACATTCAAATAGAAACAAAATTGCCACCTACCTCCTCCCTGTTGGTTCTCCGTAATCCCTTGAGATGGTGCTGCTTTGGGATCCTGTGCTTGGACGAACACTTTGGTTGTGACCACATGAGTTATTCCAGTTTTGCTGACTGGGGTCTGCTGTTTGGATGTTGCTGTCTGCCGAGAAGATGTTGTCGTCTGCTGGGTGGATGTTGCCGTCTGCTGCATGGATGTTGCCATCTGCCGAGTAGATGCTGTGGTCTGCTGAGTGAATGTTGCCGTCTGCTCTCTAGTCTTGTCCGTCTGCTGTGTGGACTGTGCCGTGACAACTGGTTTGGATTTCAACACATGTTCATTGACTTCAATTCTTGTTGTTTCCATGTCACTGTCCTTCCTACGAGACACTATCTCCTGCATTAGGGCATCTTTACCAGGAAACATATTATACTCAACTTTATTTGACTTGACAGAATTGTTCGCAACAGCTTTGCTTCCATTAGTTTTGACATTTACTGTTGTTCTGGGTTGTTGGTTTTCCTTTGGGGTACTATTCCAAGTCTTACCATTCAAAGTAACTTTATTTGTAGATGAATTGACATCATTAGCCTGAGTTACCTCCCTTGCACTACTCGCAACCGTAATGACCCTCGGTATGGAGTTGGTTCTAGGTCGGGGGGATGCCATATCTATAGTGGACAAGTTGTCAGTGGATTTGTACTTCGGAGACGGATCAAACTTTAGAACAGTTGACACAACATGTCTCCCAGATGACGTCTGCTCGCTTCGTGTTCCATTCATAACAGCATCATTGTTCTGTTTAGAAGAAAACACTAACCCATCAGAGACAGGCCTCTCAATCCTCATTGACTCGCTCGATCTAAGTTTCACCAATCTTGGCTTGTTACTCTTAGCCACATTAGAATCAATGGATTTCTCGGACACACTGAAATTCTTAGCCAACATTCGGACACTGGGCAATATCTGCAAAGCTTCTTTCTCCCCATTAGACCCATTAGTCACCGGCGCCAAGTTATTCTGAATATTGTCCTGCATGATAAGCTTCTGTATACCATTGCTAGTCGGTTTATTAATTGCATTAACCATATGCACCTGACCTTTAACCCTGTCAGCAGGAACACGTGCACCAGCGGGAGGTCGGGTTGTCAAGACGCCATTGGCGATGACGGGAGTGTAGGGTTTTGACGTGTTTGGGTTTTGGTTAATAAGAGCACTACTTCCGGCTTTTATGATTCGGGTTGCAGGTGGGTCTGGATCGGGTTGGGGTGGAATATACATAGATTTGCTGCGCTGAACGGAGGTGGAGGATTTGGTAGGTGAGGGTTGGTCCCCTTTTGCGGAATTTCGTCTCCTGAGCTGGACCGGACCCTGTTTTCCTTGCTGTAAGTTTTGCTGTTAGGCAAAAAGCAGGACACTAGTTACAAGACATTGCACATGGAGCATCAATGATATTGTTTGACATTATTCACCAATATCTTTGCAGAAGCATGGCATATACATTCACAATCAAATAAGGCTCTCAGTTCATATGCAGGTATATCTAAAGCTTGATATATCACTTTATTAATAAATATGTTTCCTACACGAAGAAAGGTGAGCTACGGTACCTTCAGCATTATGCAGTAAAGTCAGTACTCTCTGTGATTTTCAAAACATTTCTAAACATAATTTCCATAAATCCTTGATTAATCCAAACATTTTTTTTTAAATCGGTAGTTTTGAAAGTAGTGAGCATGGCATGCCCTAATTTACAAACAACAGCACACTGGACATCATATGTTCTTTTTGGTGAGTTATACTTCCCAAATGATCAATTTTTCAAGGTCTTTGCTTATTCAGATTAATGGAATAAATAAAAAAAAATCAATATCAATCACAAAGACAAAGAACAACAACTCTTTTGCCACCCTGGGCAATAAAATCACATGGTGTTACTGACAAACCAACACAAGTAAACGGTTGATTCTGGAACAGTCTCATTAAAATCAGATCTTCATGCTTGCTACTTCTACATACAGATCTGAGGATATCCCATTTCAGGTCACGTCAGAACGACCTTTCATCTGACAAATCAGAGCGTCGCTTACGAGATCACGAAAGTGAAAGTCTGAATGTTTTCTAATCATGCTACCTCAAAAAGGTTAACAGGAGGCATTCCAAATGACAGTTACGGGCTGGGTGACTGATTCTGTCAAAATCATTGTCATTCTTGTCAAAAGTCATTCTGACATGTTTGTTGTTTAATGCCGTACACAGCAATATTTCAGCTATATAATGGCGATCTGTAAATAATCGAGTCTGGACCAGACAGTCCAGTGGGTTCCATCTTGAGCATCGATCCACTCATTTGGGATATGATGACATGCATCAACCAAGTCAGCGAGTCTTACCACCCGACCCCGTTAATCACCTTTTACGACAAGTATAGTTGCTTTTTCCAGCAAGCATGGGTTGCTGAAGACCTATTCTACCCCGCATCTTCACGGGTCCATTCTGACATGACCTGTAATGGGATGTCCTCCGATATTTGTCTTGCCGAAGTGACCACTAACATCGGATCATAATTAGATTGATTCTGGAATTAAGCACTTTCTGGTTTAATTTGAATGCTTATTGATTTCCTCTTTAAGTCAAACAGGACAAAGCATAACACAAGGACCGCACAGGACACAAGGACCGCACAGGACTCAAGGACACAAGGACACAAGGACTAAGCAGGCGCAGGAGGAATTTTGGCCACACTTTTCTTATTTGTTGGTTAACAGATTCAACTGACCGGACCAAAAGCTACAAAAAGAAAAATTAGAAAAATTTGTTTCAAGTTGTCATTTTTTCTGGACTGAAAAAATAACATGACAACAACAGAAATCTGACAAAAAGATTGTTTAACTGTTTAACTTCTTTGATCAAAAGTTATCAAATGTATTGTACATGGTTTCTGGCCAATGAAAATAATTAATAAAACCAAATGTTCTCTGACAAGTTAATACATATACATGTTAATGTAAAATAATCAATGGTTCACATTTTACACATAGCATTGAAAAAGACCTGTTCACCAATAGTATGTTTTAGACACTGTTAGTAAAAATATGCATACTACTGTTTTTCTAGTACCTTAAATATATTCAGTGTTAAGATAAAGATCTTGCATACAAAACAATAAAAAACATAAAGTTTAACAAAAAACATGAAATGTTGAATAATTTTAAACATTTACATTTTTATGCAGCCATAAGCCATTAAACATGTAACACATGCTTAATAAAAGTTACAATAAGTCCAAACATAAAGTTAGTGTTAGGGAAGTAGTATTCATTAGCCTCCAGTACCATGCGGACCCACCATGCTGGTGAACAATGGAATCAGGAGGCAGCTAAGTTAGGTACAGAGAAGTCAACAAGATGTGAACAGGCCAGTGAGTGAGTGAATAGGGTTTGATTTAACTTGACCATTATTGCAGGCAAACCAATGCTAGTGACCAACAACGAAGGGCTTTATAAATTGTTTACGCAGCACAGCAATATTACAGCTGTATGACAGCATTCTGTACATAATCAAGTCTTGATCAGAGATAGACCAGAGCATCTATCTAAGCAATTGTGATACGATGACATCCATCGTTACGACAAGCAAAGTCGCCTCTTATGGCAAGCAAAGTCGCCTCTTATGGCAAGCATGGGTTCCTGAAGACCGGTTGGTTGGTTGGTTGGATGGTTTGTTGTTTTACACCGCACTCAGCAATATTCCAGCCATATGACGGCAGTGTGTAAATAATCGAGTCTGGACCAGACAATCCAATGATTAATGTCATAAGCATCGATCCACGCAATTGAGATCGATGACATGCATCAATCAAGTCAGCGAGTCTGACCACCCGATCCTGTTAGTCGCATTTTACGACAAGCATAGTCACCTTTTACGGCAAGCATGGGTTGCTGAAGACCTATTCTACCCCGGAATCTTCACAGGTCCCTGAAGCCCGGATCTTCATGAGTCTTATATATTGTACCTATATGGGTATCTAATACAGGCATGACAAGCAATGCATCAACCTTTGAGCTACCCTCATGTACAGTGACAGCTGAGGTGTCAGTTACATTTTCAGTGACAGTCAGAAAAATCTTAACCAAAACTGCATCGACAGCCAACCGAAATTAATACGCCTGGAGCAGGTATCTACCCATATTGTCAATATACAATGTCACTTATTGAACTAAGGTGAGTGAGTGAGTTTGGTTTAACGCCGCTTTTAACAGTTTCCAGTTATATCACGGCGTGTCAGCTTTATGTGGGAGCAAAGCCCTAAGTGAGGCAGGTGTCAGACGTTTACCACTTTGGTGAAACCCACGAGCACGGGTATGGTGCTAACAAACCTAGAAACATAATCGGGGCGAATCGGGTTTTGAACCCACAATCATAGGTTTCTGGCGTGCCCAAGGGACGCAACTCTTCATAGCGAATCGCGGCCCCTTAGACAACTGGGCCACTCGTGCCCCCTATTGAACTAAGGCCTTTGCTAGACAGTGAATAGGAACAGTGGGAAAGTCTGACAGGTTTGAAGTCTCTGGACTAATGGTAGCATTTCTGATTGGTCAATCCTGTTGTTTGATTGACAGGAAGTGATAGCCTAATCGCTCATTGCATCTACGTTTCTTCGTTTAACGCCACACTCAGCAATATTCAAGCTATATGATGGTGGTCCGTAAATAATTGAGTCTGGACCAGACAATCCAGTGATCAACATCATGAGCATCGATCTACGCACTTGGGATATGATGACATGCACCAAACAAGTCAGGAAGCCTGACCTCCCGATTGCATTATTCGCCCCTTCTGACATGCATGGGTTGCTGAAAATCAAATCTAACCCAGATCTTCACAGGGGGTGTACCCATGTATGGAATCCAGGTCCATATGGTTTGTTTTAAGCACCAGACTATCCAAACAACTGATCTACAGTCCAACCACTGTCCACGAACAGCTGCCATTGTGGACATCTGATCCACACATGGCCAATCGGGGTATGAATGAGATAGTACAGACATTCAGTTCACAACTGTGGACAAAACACATCCCCATGTCCACATACAGAGTGCAGTATCCAGTCCTACTAATATTTTGAAATGAAATAAACACATAGAGAATCACAGCTAAAGGGGGATATTAATAATGTAAACCCCATACTACATCAGACCAATACCAATTTTGAGGAAATTCCAACAAATTATAACAATAATATTTTAGAAAAGTCTGCATGACTTCTGTGTCATGACAAGAAACTCAGAAACATGAAACTCAGAAACCGAAATGTTGATCATGCATATATATTTTCATGCTCAAAGATTAAGTCAACAGTATCTCTCAGCAGAAGTTTGAGTGAGTGAGTATGGTTTTGTGCCGCTTTTAGCAATATTCCAGCAATATCACGGCAGGGGACACCAGAAATGGGCTTCCCACATTGTACCCATATGGGGAATCGAACCTGGGTCTTAGGCATGACAAGCGAACGCTTTAACCACTAGGCTACCCCACCGCCTAGCAGAAGTTTGACATGAGAAAGAAAGTGGAGCCATGTTGGGGGAGAGAATACCACCTTGCACGGAATCATTTCGAGATCGCAAAATCCTTTTCTTCTGATGGGATAATGAATTGTATCTGACATAATCGTTATTCATACCACATTAAACAACAAGACAAATAAAGGCATTCTCATTAATATTAACCAGACAAGAGAGAAACATCTTTTCATTCATCATATATCCAGATAGGTAATATTAAACGTGATCTATCTCAGTGAAGGTGTGAATCATTATTGTGAAAATAACCAGGTTATAAACGTTCTTTTTTTTAATAATTTGTTCTTTGTTGTCATTGAAGGAATGACAAAATTAACATTTTGTAAAATTTCATCTTTGATGGTTCAAACAGAGATTTGAACTCTGGAACTGTGATAAACTTATCTCCTTGAAACATTCGCCCCAAGTGTGTTCAGAGTTATCTGCCCATGCATATATTCCAGCAAGCTCCTTCCCAGCACATGACACCTTCGTTACACTCTCGGTAACATCGCTGCCACCAGTGTGGGCATGGTCATAACAAGAATCTTGAAATTTGCCCTCTAACCCAAAAAGTAGTAACGTTTATACTTTTGTTTATGTCTTTGAGAATGCCATCATAGTTAATTTTGAAAAGGTTTACGACTGACCATGTTTTCCAGATGAATTAACTTTGTTGTTTGTATAATCAGATTGGTACGAGGTTGCAGACAAACGGAAAATCAACTAACTTCCCCCTACATTCTTACTATATCAGTAACATGATAGTTTTAATGAAACAGAAATTCAAACTGACCAACAAAGAAAGTAATTTAGCAGTGGTAAGTGTATTCGGCATCACGACAGTCATGCTTGTTTCTAAACATAACGGTCCGTCGGTTGCGAGTTCAACTCCAAGCATGGTTGTGGACCACCTATCACAGTGGGGAGTTTTGACTGGTGGCAGCGATAGTAAAGAGAGCTCCACAAACGGGCTATCGCTGTGAGGAGCTTGATATTCCAGGTAAGAAAATAATGACATCAAAGGTGAAAATGACACACAAAAAAGACGTTTTTTACCTCATATAACCCCAGTATATATTTTTTTATATTAATTATCAGTGACAACTAAAGTCTGTGCATGACTGTGACCAATTCAAGCAGGCCCATAGTCAAGATGGTGGTGGGATAATTTTGTACAGTGAAACTATTCCCTCTTATTTATGAAAAATGTGATTTTAAATAATTCTGGAGAGTTGTTTGATTCCCAAGTATACAGAAGAGTTGTGATGTAAAATGCCAGACAATCACATGCAGAGGCGGCCATTCCAACAGTTTGAATCCTACCTTTGTGACTCGCATCTGTTTCATGGAGATATATGGAGGATATAATCACCAAGAAAACGTTAAACAATAGCTTCTGTCATGCTTGAAGAATCACTATTCTATGTAGCTTTATACCACACAGATATTGACGAAAATTATTTAATTCTTTTTTTTTTTTAATTTAAAAGCAAAATTGGACATGTAGAAAATGTAAAAATATTAATAAATCATATGTTACATTATTGAGGAAAACTTTAAAGGTTTGACACTTGTTGATTTATTAGTCTTGTGCAGTAAGAATAAATTCAACATGAAATATATTTTCAAAAGTTACTATATCTTTAGGACATGTTAATTAATGTGGAAGATTTTTAAAATAAAGAGACACACTGAATTAGTTTAAAATGAAAACAAATATTAGAAAGTGTAATTGAACAAGAATAAGAGGATCAACAAAATGTTGGATGAATACCTGTGCAAAACATTTCATGCTTCTGTTCATGAGCAGCGTGAGCCTCGTCTGTGACGTCACCATCTCCCTGGAGATGGACTTGTACTGGGAGGAGTTCCGGCTCTTCATGCTCTGGAGCTCCGCGTTCAGGGAGTTAAAGTTCTCCTGCTCTCTCGCCATCTCCTTCTGCAGCCCCGAGATGCTCTCCATCAGCGTCTGCGGAGACAATGGCTTTGGTGAGTCGCGTTTAACGCTGTTTTACGGTATTTCAGTTACCGTATTTCCCCCATATTAAGCACCCTTTCATCTATTTTCTGTGCACCCAGGGTGCTTATTATTGTGAATATGTTCGATCATGTCAGATTAATCATGGAGCAAAGCTCAAAGGGATGAAGGTTGTAGCCGTTTACCCCCGCTGTGTAAATCAAGGAGCATTGACTTGATGCCAGCTTACCCAGGATACTAATAGGGATTGTCAGATTCAAGATTGTGACATGTATACATATATTAGTTCCTTCACTTTTGAGAACCCCCCTCCACCCCTTCATTAAACAAACCCATAATCAGATAATTTCCTCATACCCTCTCCTGGGTCACTGGAATCCATCTTCGCTCAGAGTTATAGTTACGGTCCGTCAATAAATAGCAGCTCTAATCTGACTCTCACTAAATGTTTGAACTGATCCCTATGGGATATAATTCTGCACATTAGTGAGTGAGTGAGTGAGTTGGGTTTAACACCATTTTTAACAGTATTCCAGTTATATCACGGCGTGTCAGCTTAATGTGGGAAGCCCGAAGTGATGCAGGTCTCAGACTTTTACCACTTCGGGGTAACCCATGAGCACGGGTATGGTGCTGACAAACCTAGAAACATAATCGGGGCGAACCGGGATTCAAACCCACAATCATAGGTTTCTGGCGTGCCCAAGGGACGCAACTCTGCACATTAAGATGTGGTCTCACAGCCCATGTAGTCCATGGCCTCTGCTTTGTCATCTGAACTTTCCACGAAAGCTATAGAAAGTAGAAACTGTCATCTCAAAACCTCATGAGTGAGTGAATATTGTTTTACACTGCTTTAATCAGCATTTCATCAACATTGTGCCACATGCAGAAATGGTCTTATATACATTACATTGTACCCATAGGTGGCATCAAACCTGGGGTTGAGGGAGGACAGGCAAACACATCAGCTATTGTGCTACTACTAACTTTTCATAGAGAAGGTGGAGAGAGTGAGGGAATGAGTATGGTTTTACGCCGCTTTTAGCAATATTCCAGCAATATCACAGCGGGGGACACCAGAAATTGGCTTCACACTTTGTACCCATGTCGGGAATCAAACCCGGGTCATTCGGCATGAGGAGCAAACGCTTAAACCACTAGGCTACCCGACTGCCCCGAAGGTGGAGAGAAGAACTGGATAATGATGATGATTTTGAAAAAGAAACATACTGGCAGTGTTAAGTTTATTCTTACAATTTATTCAGATATCGGTACTGACATTGTACAAGTGGGACACTTTTGAAACTTGATAATTATGAATTTTATGTGTGGAACACGAGATCAACAATTTATTCCCCTTATGGCAACCTCAATTTATCAAGATGAAAAATCAGTTATGCTTTATTTCAAATATGCCTTCAAGATCAGAAATGTACAGAAGTGAAACGTGTGATTCACTTGTAAAATTATCCTGTAGTGTATTGTATCCACTTCATGTATTTGGGCCTATGGCCTGTCATACAATAAACATTTGAACTTTGAACCCTAACCAATTGACCACAAAACTTAACTCTGATGAATGGGAGCTCTAACCACCAAACAACTTTACCTAGTTTTACTTTCAGTTGTAAACAAGAGATGAACAAATGGAGTTGTCTCCCTTACTCTATGAACTTTCAAGCACGATCACTAGCATATCAGTTTGGAGAGCAAAGCCATTTGTCTCCTTAATAATCAGCAGATGTGAACTATGTCTACATGTTATCATAAATAGGCTAATATCAGGATCTCTTCCATAAGTTGATAGCATTTCCATTCATTCAGACAGATTGTCATATGCTGAGACATTACCGTGAGCGCGTAACACTGGGAATATCATGTCAACAAATCCATAATGAAGTACGCAATTTAATCTTGTAATTACATTGTCTGGTTATCAGTGTTCATTGTATATCTGGACTTTTGTTTGGAATCAATATTATTAATTCTATTCAAATTTCATTTAATATTGTTTACATAAATTTCGGCCAAATTGTGTGTGAAGTGATTGGTAGATCACACAACTCACCGTTATTTACAGCAACCATGGTCAGATTTCTGCTATTGATGCCTTGGAACAAACTTTAATTGACAGAGAAGGGATACATTTTTCGTAATTGCCATACTTTGACTCGTTAAGAGTCATATTTGTTGTAGTTTGACTATTATATGTCAACATAAAGTTTTTACAATTGCGAGCTAGTGAGCAATACATGAAATACAATTTAAATAGAAAATTAACATGCCTAGTAATGTTTAACTCAAATTTCAATTTTGTACTGACCAAGTTTGTTGTCACCCATTTCTTGATACCTGAATTCGCTGAAGTGATACCATGTAATTTTTTTCTGTGCATTATACTCAGAAAATCCTTTTTTCAAAACACTAAATACTCATTCAATAAATATGCACAGATGCACGCTCCGGGTATTTGGCAAGTGCGTAACATTAAACACATGATAAAAATAGCTATTTCAAATCCCCCCTTATAGCCAAAATGGATAGAATTATCATCAAACCGCCCGCATGTTACAAGAAATGAGTGGGCCACTGTAACTTGATCATGCCCTCATATTGCTTGACAACGGGCCGTTATCACCCCCATTGTTAGGTGACGTCACGTTCAATATTGACGTCATCTGGTTTGTTCTTGACGTTTCCATATTTGTAAAAGTGGGTCAGTGACATTCGTGTTGATTGCAGTAAATGTTTCAAAACCTATATTGTTATTTCTTTTTATTTGATAACAAATTCCATCCATTTGAGCTACAATAACGGTAACCCTTTTTTTCAGGGCATTATCATTTGCAGAAGCCCTCCGTCGTCGGGCAGTTAATGGAAGACCTCGGGCTTCTGCAAATGATAATGCCCTGAAAAATAGCGTTACCCTTATAATATACTGAGCAGTAAAAGATGATATTGTGATATGTATCATGGAAATGCCGTGCTCCCTTACAAAAAGTGTGCTCACACCATCGACCACAGGTTTGTGTGATCCAGCTGTTCCTGGCTGTGAGTGAGTGATGACACACTGCTATACCCATACTTCAGTTATAACACATGGTGTCAACTGTTTTTTAGGGGGAGGGAGGAAGGGAGGAAGGGAGGGAGTGTTATTTATTTGTAAAAACAATAACAATGTTGTACTGTTTTGATAAAAAGACACATTAATTTCTTTGCAACTAAATGATCCAATATCGTGGCAAAAGATCAGTGACACCAACATCAGCAATCGATTGTCTGTATGATCATGGATAAAAACACAAATAGTCTTTTTGTGTGAGGCAGCAAACACGAATAAAAAAACCCGTATAGCTCCCTTGTAAAATATTTACTTAATTGTCAAAGGTTTTTATGTGTATTTTCACATTCACGTCTGTGTTTTTCTAAGTGGCAGCTACTCTAAGACCCCAGCAAGTGGCGAGAATGTTGACCTGGCATAGTCGACAATTCTGCAACAAAGGTCCGCCACAACTCCTACATTTGCTTAGTCCGAACACGTCAAATAAAGAATGTTGACAGGCGGTGACCCACGAGTGGCAGACAGGGGGAGCCGAAGACGGAAAACACTGGACGAGAACATACGGAAACTATGCGACAACTTGTCTACGACCATGAACCTATTTATCACGTCTCCATAACTAAAGAATTACACGTGTCTAAGGCCAGATATCCAACAAGGTTACCAGATCTCACCTCAAGACATTTAACGCTCCAAACGCAAAAGAAAATTAAGAAAAAGTATTTGCTCGTTTTGGCCCCTTACAGTGTATCCCCGTTTGTCCAGGCCTTGTTTATCAGGAAACCTGGATTTCCAATGACTACTGATAAAGTCAACAAACATTAATTTACGTGACATAGTGTGCTGCTTCAGTGAGCCTCACCATCCAAACAATCTTTATAAGTACCGTATTCAACATAATAAGCGCCCACGGCGATAATTGCTCATATATTGGCTAGTGAACAATCCCAATTAGCACCCTTCCGACTGATCAATGTACACAAGACTTATTTATTCGCGTATTATACGCACTCGTGTGTTATATGCACCCTTAATTACAGGCAATTAAATTCTGGAAAAATATATCTGTCGTATATAAACATTTCAGGCTGTCAGCATAAACCACAAAATTTATCTTTCAACTTTATTTTTCCACCAAAATAATATTCTAATAAGATCCCTCTATTTCTAATTTTGAGAGCATCCTGGGCGCTTATTACGTCGAATACGGTACCCCCTACTAACACTGACAACTTACATGACAGTCCATATTTTCTTGTGGATTTTACAGACTTCTTACAGAAAACAGCCTTGCCTTGTAACAATTACCAAAAATGTTTAGTTCCATCAAGGTTTGAGCTAAGTTTGTTAACTATCATATTGTCTTGGGCTCTTTGTCAATGTTTACTCTTATTACAGTGAATATGGTAACTGTTCAAGATTTCTTGATATTGACATTTGTTAATATGGACGTTTTCACTAAGAACATGCAGAATGCTACTGTCTGTTAAAATCTTTTGACTATTTCTACATTTCTCAACTTGATAAATGTGCAGACAATAATAGCAATGAGATTCTTTGCCTGTATCATGGTGAGTTTGCAGGAGATGTAAGACACATCAGAAAAAGACATACTATGTGAACCTTCTGAATGATATTAAGAATTGATACCAGAACAGCAATAAACTGCTAAAGAAAATTAATTGGAAGTGAAAACAGTTTTAAATCTTTGAACATCTTGAAAATATCATGCTGAAACTTATCCTTAATTCAAAGAAAAGAGCAAATCCCCAAACTCAAAACAGCAAGTCTCAAAGTGTCTCCTACACCCATGGTGCTATAATGTGGGCTTCAAGTTCATCTTTGCCCATAAAATCTTTGAGCACACAACACCTCAAAGAAAACTTTGTAACAATAGACAATTCCTTGCAAGTAGCCTAAAATAACG